GAAGCAGCCCCTGCAGCTTCCCGGCTTCTCTGAGCAACAGCAGCAGGTGCTGAGGGCACCGGCCAGGACTGCCCGGCCAGGATATGCAGGAACACACCGGGATGCAACCAGGACCCCCCCCATTGCCAGCACAGATCCCGGGACTCCTCTCCATATGCAGCCCCCAGGGGCACCTAGCAGGATTAGGATGGACCCAGTCTCACCCTGCGCATTTTGCCTGGGGGCAGGTCCCCCTCCCAAGCACCATGAGGACGTGCTGCATCCCCAGTACCCATCACCTTTATTACATGATTAAATCCAAATACAAAATAAGAAGCAAAAAGAGGAAGAAAAGTATCTGACTGGGGAAAGCAGCAGCAGAACAGGAGCCCCTGAAGTAGGGCAGGCCCTGGGCTCAGACCCCTCCCTGGGGGAAGCTGCCACAGCAGCATGTTCAGTGTCCCTCCAGCCCTGCTAGCTGGAGTTCACCTGCTCCACCTTCGGCACCTCTGTGCTGGGCACCTGCAGGCCCTTGGGAGCTGGAGGTTTCTCATCCTGAATCTTCAGGGCTTGCAGCTTGCTCAGTGTGCTGTAGATGCCCAGTGTCTGGGGGAAGTCAAAGAGGAGAAACTGTGCACTGCAAGCACAGGGGAGTAGCCTGCCTCTGGAGAGGACCCTGCGGGATAGCAGGGACAGGGCAGGACACGGAGGAGGACTGTGACAATGCAGGCCCCATGGGGCAGGCAGGGACACAACAGCCTCTAAAGGGCCTGTGTTCAGGGCCTCAATGTTTCCGTGCTACGCTGCAATGTGAGAAAGCTCCGCTGAGAGCACATCCTGCCACAGCACCAAGGCACCTTCAGGAGGTGACCCGAACCCTTGTTTGGGGCAGGGTGAGGGACGAGAAAGAAGCAAATATACATCTAAAAGAGATGGTGATAAAGTCAGCCTTGTCCTTCAGCCATCTTATCCTGGGTTGGAGGGAATGGTCCTGTCTGCTATTGCCACAACTAGGCCCTCAGACTCAGCCAGGGATTGCCACAGCAGAGACCCTCCTGTTACCCAAGGGCTGTGAAACATGTTCCAGCCCACAGCTGGGAAATTAATTAATTATCTGGGCCAAATTCCTCCTCTTCACTATCTACCAGCACTACCACCTCCTCCACAGCAGCTAGGGGCTGCTGGGCTGTGCTCTCCACCTCCCTCAGGCTCCAGTTACCGCTGGGAAAGGAGGAGGTCCCTCTGACCAGACTGACCCGTGTGACCATGTTGGTGACGTTGCTGGTGCTGGCTGGCAGCAGGAGCGTGTTGGAGTCCTTGGCCAGCTTGGAGAAGGCGCTCACATACTACTCGGCCACGGAGATAGGCGGCTGCGCTGCCGTGCTGGGGACAGAGGGCTCGTCAGGGAGGAGGTGCCAACACCTGTGCCCGGCACCTGACTTCAAGGCTGCACAGCTCCTTGCTGCCAAAGAAGCTGGCAAGGAGGGTCTCAGGGAAAGCTGGGTGCTGCCCCGACTTCATGTCCACCCCTCCCTTCACTAGCACCAACATTTTGGCTGCTCCAAGGAGCTGGGACTCCCTGCACCCACCTGCTGTGCCAGAGCAGCTGCCAGGAGCTGAATAGCCTCAGCCTTGGCCTGGGCTTTGACCAGCATGGTGTTGGCTTCTCCTGGAAGAAACAATCTGCTGCCAGAGAGCAACTCCCTTCAGTTGAGGGCTACAGGCCCCCCAGGCCCTGGAGCTTGTAGCACGTTCTAGGCTGAGGCACTACCAGCAGCTTTGTTGATCTGTTCGGCCTTTTGAGCTTCCGATACCAGGATCTGGGCCTGCTTCTGCCCCTCGGCCACGTTGATGGCAGATTCCCGGGTGCCCTCCGACTCCAGCACTGTCGCCTGCTTCCGTCGCTCTGCCTCCATCTGCAAACACAGCTTGGATGCTCGTCTGCCATGGCCAGTCCGGGGACAATCACGGGGGAAGCACAGCAAGGACGCGCTCCCATGGCCCTGCCTTGGGAAGCATGGCAGAACAAGGGACAAGAGCGCGACCAGGAAGCGCTGAGCGAGCCCGCGCAGGCTGGATCTCCTTCCTGGGCTCTGCTCACCGCAGCATGGAGCCCAGACCACAACCTGCCACGCTGAGGGGTGTCTCCTCCCTCCTGTCACCCATGGTGACTGAGTGCAGGGTGCTTCCCATAGCAGTGCTGGCACCACCAGCTCACAGCAAGAGGAAACCGCTTTTGGTTTGGCCTTCCTCCCAGCCCCTTCCAGCAAGACTGGCAGCTCAAGGACAACACTTGCCCTGGGGTCTGGCTCCCAGGTTTTCCCAAGGGAGACTCTCAGAGCACTGGAATTTGCTTCCCATTAGAGTCCTAGGGATTTTAGGGTGAGCTGGCAGGCCTTTGAGTGTGAGGTGTAGGCCACCACTGCAGAAATAAGGATGGGAATAATCACTTGTTTGCAGTCAAAGAGCCCACAGCTCCCCTCACAGCAGGAGGGCCCCGTGCTGCCACTCTGGAAGGAGACTGGCCATGCTGCATGGGACGGGAGGCTTCGCTCTCATTCCAGCCTGCCCCAAACCACCAAACCTGCATCTGCATGGATTCCTTCACGCGAGGGGGCACATGGATGTCCTTAATCTCGTAGCGCAGGCACCGGATGCCCCAGCAGTATGAAGCCTGGTTGATGGCATCCACAATGCTGGCATTGAGAGATTCGCGCTCCTGCGAGATGCGATAGAAATAGCAGAGAGGAAAGAGAGGAGCGCGAGGAAACAGTCAGACTCCTCCCTTCATGGGCCAAGGTCAGCCAGAAAACCCCAATTCCACAGACACAGGGCAGGGCCAACCCTTCCCAAGGCTCATGTGAGCAGGCTTCACCTTCTCCCTAGGGCAGCACTGCCCAAAGCTGCAATTGGTGAGAAGCAAACACCTGGTGAACATCTGGATACAAACATCTCCCAGGAGGGCAAACAGCTCC